TCCCCGAGAATTATACAAAAACAGCGCAATGCAATATCTCAACGGTTTCGACTTCTCTTTACTCTACCAAGTTATAGAAACTGGAGTCTCTCTAATACTGTTCTAGTCAATATTTCTGAGAGTATAAAAAGAGGGTGTAATATTGCAAGAAGTTTTGATCTTTTGATGGATGCAAGTAGTTTGAATTTTCTCATTTCTGCATATGATTTTGTTGAAAATAGTTCCTTTCTTTGGTTCCTTTGTCTGATTTTAATTTACCGTAACAACTATGATGTTAAGTATATTTATGTATTATATAAAGTACCTATATTTGTATTAATAGTTTCAGAGGTTATGTTGAAAAAATGATCGATATGCTATTAAACTTTAATAATTTAGTAATGAGGTCTCTCGGTAGACCCTGCATAGTGGTATATGTTAGTACAGCAATATTTAAATCTGGTTGATGAAAAAGTACACACCAGTGCAGGTTATTGTAGCATCTACGAACAAATGAATTAATGGCCCATTGGCAATTATTCCTTTAAGAAAAATATTCAACACAGCTTAATTAATTAATAAAATGCAAAAAATCACAATCATGTCGTATATAGTTTTCATATTAATACTAGTTCAAAAGTGAAATTACGACCTCTATACCGTGGGGAGATTTAGAAAACCATATTCAAACGTGGCGTCATCCTATACACTTCTATAATTTTCCGTTTGCTGTGTGACCCACACTTTTATTGTGTTTTGATCTTTCATAATTTAGTAAGTAGATATTACAGCTCAGGTTCCAGATTTTTATCCGGAATTAATTATTTTTTACAATGTTTTAAAAGTCTAAAACCTATCCTCCGTGACTGTTACTCTTTCTAGGTTAACCTATATGTTTTCAAATATCTGAGATAATAAAAGCATACTAAAAATATCAGTTCAATTAAATACATCCAAAGCAATCGAATCAAATATAAAATAATATTAAAAATTAAAAGAACTAATTTTTATAACCATTTATGTAGGTGTTACAAAAATTGATTCTATCCTCCGTGAATCTGTTTTTGCTTCAAATGTTATGCAACGGATGGCGCTTTAATCATTTTAAATAAGCAAAAACCTATGTTTACGACATTATCTATAGATGCTAAAAACAGAAATAAATACTTTTAACAAGAACATTCAAAAATTAAATCATCAATACCGACAACATAAATGGATAGAAGCTTGTGAAAAAATCCAAGAAAACTATGGAAGAACTTACTGGAAAGAAATTAGTAAACTAACTAAGTATAAGGGCACTTCGAACCAGTTTAATACACCCCTGGTGGACAACGGCAGAACATACGAAACAACTAACGAAAAACTTGAACTCTTTGCAGATTATTTAGAAGACACCTATAAAGAAAGTATTGATGCAAATTTCTGTGTAGCCCACTATAATGAGGTCTCGCAATGGTATGCCAACTTCAAAGAAGAAGACCTTGCTTTGACAGCTGAAAGCGTTACGGAGGAGGAATATTTTAATATCCTTTATAAAGGAAAAAACACAGCTCCAGGCTACGACTGGATTACCAAGAAACTACTAAGACAACTAGACTACGAAACACACTTGGAAATTCTGAGAATATATAATTATTGCTTAAACAACCAATATTTTCCAGAAAAGTGGAAAACTGGCATTATTATAAACATTCCAAAATCCAACACCGATAAATCCCAAGTAAAAAACTACAGACCTATAACTCTCCTGACAAACTTGGCCAAAAATTTCGAAAACATTTTATGCAACAGAATTACAGAAGCAATAGGACACACGATTCCTCGCTATCAGTTTGGGTTCCAGAAGAATAAGTCAACCATTCATCCTCTGACAATACTTATTAATAATATACAAACTATACATTTGATGGGAAGAAAAACCACGGCACTGTTCCTAGACATCAGCAAGGCATTTGATAGCGTCTGGCATAAAGGGTTATTATACAAACTGCACCAGCTAAATTGCCCAAACAACATCCTAAAAATACTTATGAAATTTTTAGATAACCGGAGTCTGCAGGTATCAATAAACAATAAAACCTCAAGAAACTTCATAGCCAAACAAGGACTGCCCCAGGGTTCCCCTCTCTCCCCTCTGCTCTATAACCTTTATTGTGCCGACATCTACAATGAAGATCCCATGCTCTTTGACCAAGATAAATATGTACTTCAATACGCAGATGACACCGCTATAATTTGCCATAGTAAAAATCAAAAAACTGCCTCTGACCAACTCCAAGTTCTGTCAAATCAAATCTTGGCATGGTTTAACAAATGGAGACTAAAACCAAATCCACTAAAGTCTCAACTAATACACTTCCACCAAAACAAGATTAACCCTAATATAACAACTAAGATGTACAATGACATAATAGAGCCAAAATCTAACGTAAAATACTTGGGAATCACACTGGATAATAAAGTAAACTTTAATCTTCACTCTTCCCTGTCAAAGAAGAAAACATTAACAAGGGCCAGCCACTTTAGAGGACTTACATACAACAAAAAAGGCATCAATGATGAAACAAAAAAAAAGAATATACACCTTAATATGCAGACCAATCCTGGAATATGGATGCATCTTACTTAATAATGCCCGGAAACCAGCCTTAAGCAAAATTAAAACCGGGGAAACCTCATCACTCCGAAAAATCTCCAAAATGAGACATCCAACCAATTCTCTACACAACCCTCCCAACGACCTTTTGTATGCTACCTTCAATATCTTACCAATTATGGAAAGATTTATCAAATTATCTACAAACTTTATTAGCAAGGACGCTAACTACAACATTCTGAGCGAGTTGTGTTTGGAGGTACAGGGCAACAGGAAGTTCAAGCACCCAGAGAAGACCATATGGGAACATCTTAAACAAACACGAGATAACATACTAATTAATTAGTTTCAATTTCACGATTATATAATGTTTTTTTTTTTTTGTTACATACAGGGTGTCCCAGAACTCGCGCCACAGAGAAAAAGGGGGCGTGCCGATAGCAATGGAGATGCCAAATTTAAAAATAAAAAATTTCTAGGTAATAGTGTAATCGAATGAGAGCAAAAAAGCGGCAGCCAATACCGAGAGCTCTCGCCTAGGTTAAACGTAGGAGCTTAAAAAATTGCTAGGAGACGATATAACATTGTTGTATTAAAAACATTTAAAAATCTTTTGGCCAACTGTATTTACTAAGTTGTCAAAAGCTTTCAAAAATAAGGTTATTAATCTATGACTTATACTTCAGAACGCCAATGTTTTAAAATAACGATTAGGAAAGAGCTGGGAAAAAACTCGCGTTGTCTCCCTGGCGTTGCGCCCACACTAAATAAATAAATAATTATCATTTCAGTATAATCCACAGACTGTGGTATAATCATCTAAGGAAAACATTATTTGAGTACCTTAGATGCAAAACTCGGTTTTTGCAAATTAAAAAATAAAATAAAATTGACTTTAAATTCTGTTTAGTGTTCGTCCTAGATAAATGGCGTTTATAAAACTTGATACATAATAATATATATAATATAATATTATTATGTATCAAGTTTTATGAACGCCATTTATCTAGGACGAACACTAAACAGAATTTAAAGTCAATTTTATTTTATTTTTTAATTTGCAAAAACCGAGTTTTGCATCTAAGGTACTCATTTATAATAACTTAATTTATAACCTAATATAATATTAATGACAGGAGTTTGACAGCAGTGTCACAATGAATTGGATTCCAGTGGACCAAATATTTTACATATTTTTTATTATCAACAATGCAACCTAAGTATCCTAGCAATTTAAAGAATTCCCTATGGCCATCTATTGGGATTGGCTATCGTTTTTTATTCTTATCTCGCTTATCCTTTGCGTTGGACAATTTTAATTTTCAAATATGTGTTTCACGTTACTTTCGGCACGTTCCGTTTTTCTATGTGGCGCGAGTTCTGGGACACCCTGTATATTCAGGATATGTTCACCGGCTGAAGGACCTCGGTCAATGGCCATTTGTAAGAAATTGTATTAACTTTTTTTTGCAATAAAGTTCATTTATTATTATTATTATTATCTATAGATGCATATGATTCCTGAAGGTCAGTTAGAATTTATATGCAAATGAGAGTGTTGCTGTTTTATAATTCAAAAGTTTAAGCTCATTAATTTGCTATTTAAAAACATATCCACCGTGAAGTGTAATATCTCAGTAAGTAGATTTTTTGTATAAATATTTTATGAATGTAGGTAGGTACAATTTTATTTTTAAAAAATATTAAAATGTCAAAATATACAATAACTACAATTTTATTTTTAAAAAATATTAAAATGTCAAAATATACAATAACTTATTTAAAATATACAAAGGGATGTTTAAAAAACATACGAAATCCTAACCTCCGTGAGGCTCTAATATTAAAAATGTATTATTTCTTAAAATTCTTGCATTAGTGCAGAACCACTTATGTTATGTTATTACTAGACCTGGTGGCTTCCCAAAAACCCCATTCTAGACTAACAGTGAAACAACCAAAAAAAAAATTATCATTTTCACTTGGGGGACATCTCAATATATTCACCCACTATACATTATTCATCAAAAACTAATTCTGCTGGACAAACGTCATCAACTTCATCTTCATTTAAATTATTATTATTATTCTCGTTATGTTTTAATTTATTATAAAACAATATAAGTACTATTTGGCTGTATAAAAGGCAACAAACTTGGTATTGTCCAACCAGGATTTCCTAAGTGACACTAAAGCCCATTTCAATATTAAATTTTGGTAAAAATGCACTTTTTCGACCAAGCCACAGAATTATGTTGGTGACATATGTCAATATACTTATATAAAAAAAATTCTAACCTATAAGTCTCTTTTTGACAAAAATATACAGTGACTCTTATTTAAATAGAACCTCTTTTGTTAATTATTGGTTTCTATAGTTCTAAAAATAATTGAAATGTAAACAAAATTTGAAACATCTTTGACAGTCAAATATCTAAATTTTCGTATTCAATTTGGATATGTAAAGTTCAAAATTTAAGTTAAAAACTGTTGTATTTCTTCAAAATTCTAAATTAAACCCAGCAAGATGGATTTTTGTAAGATGGAAAAAAGGAAAAACCTTTTGTGCGACCTGAAAAATCTGATGGACAGAATGGACTGCCCCCCATCGTGCGTAACTTCTTGCAATGGCCCTGTCATTGAGATTTATGATCCCTTACCAAAAGCTTGTCTGCCTATTTGCAGCCCCTGTCCCCCAATGTGCTGCCCACCACCAGGATGTTGCCCACCTCCAGGATGTTGCCCGCCTCCATCGTGTTGTCCGCCGCAATGTCCCCCGCCGGGATGTTGTCCTGGAACCTGTCCATCTCCGAGCAGTCCAGTACCTGTGTGCTGCCCTCCTCCAGGCTGTTCGCCTGTATGTGTGCCGCCAATTTTACCCATTTGCACTCCCGTTCCTCCTCCCTGCGTTCCCATCTGCAATCCCAATCCGGAGGAACAGCCTTGCGTACCTTGCAACCCCCCTCAAATGATGGTGTGCTATAGAAGACCCAAATGTTGCCCACCGGCGAGAAGATCGAAATCCAGGGAGCTTCGTGCAAGTATATTGTACATTGGTTGCGACTGCGAGAAGCATTTTGGTTTGCAGGACGATTGTCCCAGAATGGAGTGCCAAGGCTCGCCGGAATGTTTAACCGACCCTCCTACGTGTGGACCAAGCGAATACTCCTGCGGGAAACACCTGGGAAAGCGATTTGGGGGAAAGGCGAATGGTTTGGAAGAATACCAATGTTACCCTGCGTACGTCAAACTACCTTCATGTCCACCGTGTGGACCGTGTTGTCCACCATGCGGGCCGTGCGGACCGTGTGGCCCATGTGGACCTTGTCCGCCCTGCGGTCCATGTGGTCCATGTGGTCCATGTGGACCATGTGGTCCATGTCCGCCCTGCGGACCGTGTGGTCCATGTGGTCCATGTTGCCCTCCTGCATGCTGCCCTCCGTGCGTACCTCCTTGTGTACCATTGGTGGCCCAGGCTCCATGCCCTCCGCCAATTTGTCCTGGACCTCCCCCATTGGTGCCAGTTGGACAAGTGGTTCCAGTCGCACCTGCGGTACCTGTATGCCCCGTTGCCGCACCTCCGCCACCGCTTGGTTGCTGTCCAATTCCATGCACTCCACCGTGTTGTCCGATACCGCCTTGTTGTCCATGTCCTTGTTAATTTATTCTTTTATTTTTGTGTTTGTTTTGTAAATGTCCAACTCATAAGAAAAAACTGCAACTCTAAGTTAAGAAAATAGAAAACTACATAAATATTTATGTTTTTTATTTGATAAAGTTGATGGATTCTCTGTATAAAAATGTGGATGACCATGATTGAATTAAAAAAAAAATTGTTCAAATTAAAACATTTCTGAATATTTTCCCTGCTTGCTTTAAAACGTCTAAAATACCAACGCGATTTATGAAAAAAAATTTCTTTTCAGAAATAGTCATTTTTGATGCTAAAATGCAAAAGAAATTTAAAATCGAGTATCAAACATTTTTTCGAAAACTGTCCTACCATGGCGTTCTCTATAGAGAACGCCCTGGTCCTACACTTCATAAATTACTAAAAATGTTAATAAAAAATTTTGAAATATTTAAAATTATTTTGCGTACATAGCAAATCTTTTCTGTGTAATAACACCCTTCTGTCTTGTAGGAAATTAAATTCTCTACAAAAAAAGGTCCTTTACAATTTTGGTGTCAAGACAATAGCTTAGGAGAGAAAGTCGAAAAACCACGATTTTTGAGAAAAAATCAACTACACAATTTTTTACTGGCAATATACATTCAAAAGTTGGAAATGAGCTTTTAAAGAGGAATGATCCCTCTCCAACTTCCACCCATGGTCAAATGAATGCCATGAAATGTCGCTTTGCTATAAAGTCATTCCAAATAAAAACACCAAATGGGGTACGGTGCTTGATTTTTTATTTTGATAAAAAAAATTGAGGATGATCTCTTAGGTATCAAATATGATTACTTTTAATCGGCACCCTTTAGAAATCTGAAATCGTGTCAATTTCTTACTCTTATAGTGGTCCAGAATTTTTTTTCTGTGACAAATATTGAAATGATTTTTTTTACTGTTCAGTAAGTGTGTTTTCGATATAAATTATTATTATCCAATTAGTTAATCTCACAAAAGAATGGTAAACCACTAAAGATTCATGATAATTTGCCAATTTTTGTGATTTTTGTCTGGCTCCTGAGCCTATACTAAATCTAGAAAGTTTTTTTCAGGTATCAAGTACTTATACAATAGAAAACGTAACTATTATTTTAAGTTTCTAGACTATCATTTTCTTTATTAAAAAAACTATTGAAACTTGATAATTTTCAAAATTAGCCAATTTTGCCCTCAGAAATCATTATGTTGAGGAAATAAAAATCTGAAACTTTCAGAAAATGTAGTCCCAACCTTTATCTTTTCAGTCTAGTTAGTCTTGTTTTGTTATTTTTATCCATGTAGTAAAAATAATAATTTTTTTAATGCAGTTAAGAAGCGATATATCGCTATTGCTAGTTTTATTTATAATTTAAAATTTAGATGGCTTTGACTTAGTCAATTCATGTTTGGTAGAGAAATGTCAGAACTGTCAAAAATATTTCATAAATATTACTTGTGCGTATTTCTTTGGTAAATTTTGTATATAACAAAATATGTCATATTAGAATATTTTTTGGTTTTTTGCTTATTTTTAACAATTTAAAACATGATATGATATGTTCTTGCATTTTTAATTGCAATTAAATTCATGAATCTCGAACACTCCGTCATTTATTACACTTGCAAACTTGCAAACTTTTTGAAATCACAATTTAAATACGCACAAATAATATTTATGAAATATTTTTGACAGTTCCGACATTTCTCTACCAAACATAAATTGACTAAGTCAAAGCCATCTAATTTTAAATTATAAATAAAATTAACAATATCGCTTCTTAACTGCATTAAAAAAATGATTATATCTTTTACATGGAGAAAAATAACAAAGCAAGACTAACTAGACTGAAAAGATGAAGGTGGGGTCCCCACCGTGGGGACTACATTTCCTGAAAGTTTCAGATTTTTATTTTTCCACAACATAATGATTTCTGAGGGAAAAATTGGCTAATTTTGAAAATTATCAAGTTTCAATAATTTTTTTAATAAAGAAAATGATACTAATAATAGTTACTTTTTCTATTGTATAAGTACTTGATACCTGAAAAAAAGCAACTTTCTAGATTTAGCAGAATAGGCACAGGAGCCAGACAAAAATCACAAAAATTGGTAAATTATTACAAATCTTTGGTGGTTTACCATTCTTTTATGAGATGAACTAATTATATAATAATTAGTGTCCGACCGAATGTCAGTTTTTGGCCGAAGCCGAAGCCGAAGCCGAAGGTTTAATAAGACTTAAAAAAAATTGACTTGACTAAACGGCCATTCCAAGCCAAATTTGGCTAATACTTCTCATAAATACTCGTAGAAAAAATAAGTAAACTTAAGGAAGTAACAAGAATATATTTAGACATGTTTCTGATGTGTCCTGTCCATGGGCTTGGAATGGCCGTAAACTAAAAAAAATTATATAACAATATAAATAGTAAAGTGTTATTGCGTTTAGTAGATTGTTAAAATATAAATAGGACATATCCAATAATTATAACTTAGCTGCGCTGAAGTCCGCCTCATTCGTAAGCCGGCGGCTGGACACAAACCTTCGGCTTCGGCAAAAATCCTTCGGCTGATTTTGGCCGAAGCCGAATGTGCGACCGAATGAGGTTTTTTGTCCGAAGGTGGCCGAAGGTGGCCGAAGCCGAAGCCGAAGCTTCGGTCGGACACTAATAATAATAATTAATATTGAAAACATACTTACTAGGCAGTAAAATAAAATTACAATAATTGCCACAGAAAAAAAGTTTTAGCCTCTTATAAGAGAGATAGAAAATGACACGATTTCAGGTTTCTAAAGGGTGCCGATTAAAAATAAAGCAACTAAAAATTAAAACGGCAACGGTTTTTCATATATGATACCTAAAAGATCATCATTCTCAAACTTTTTTATTAAAATAAAAAATCATGCAGCGCACTTTTAAATTTATTTTTGGTGTTTTCATTTGGATTGACTCTATAGATAATATAAGCAAAAAAATATTTTTACTGGTTAATTAAATGGCAAAAATGGCGAGTACTTAAAATTAAAATTAAGAGCTCTCCTTTGAAGGGATTTCTTTTCTATATATATATATATATATATATATATATATATGTTTAGAACAATATTTCGTCTTTCATTGCAGACCTGTGTAATTATTATTGTTAAATATTAATTATTTTTTATATAACAAAATTCTCATACAGGCGCGTTTCTTTTAGTTTCTTGGTTCGACTCAAAATGTAGATACACACTTTTTTATCAGGACAGCAGTACAGCAGAATTGTTACAGGCCTAGAGTAATAATTATTACTCTAAGGTTACAGGTGATAGTAAGTATTGGTCCCTTTGTAATCTGCGACAGATGTTTAATATATTCAAAATGGTGACCCTCGCAGTCAAGTCAGTCTTTATAAGGAAATGCCCCGGCAGATGATTGGACACCCCCGAGGGCCCAATTGGCATTTAAACAAATGTTGAAATAAACTTTTAGAACACCGCACTTTGATGTCAGCTGATAAACGCTATTTTAGTTATTTTAATTAACACATTTCTTTTTCTTTCGGTCTAGTGAATTTTATTAGGACCATTTTAAACTTGTGTTATTGGACACCTTTAAATATTATCATTTTCATCTAATAAAATATGTAAGGATACCATTTCCTATTATTAGCAATGTAAATATAACTACCTACAACTATTTTATATTTACGTTTCTGGTTTAACAGTTAATTATTTTTTTAATTGTTTTATAGTTGAAGACATATATGTATGTATGTATGTATGTGTATACCACCTAAGTGGATAAAGGTGTTTGAAAAGAAATATGAAAAATTCAAAATGTGTATAATTTGGATTTTTTAAATGAAATTTGAAATTTGTCGATAAACTGTGGTAAATAATAAATTGGACCAATTAAATTCATATTACATTACAGCAAAAAGTTATCTTTTTTTCACAAACTTCAATTTAAATTCTGCTTGCGCAGAACTTGTTTATTTAATGAGATATTGAGATATCGGTATACCCAAAATCCACCAGCCGCCACTGGTAGATACAAACATAATATTATAAAACATTGTTTCACTAAAATACCCCATTTTGCCAAGTTTGTTGTACAAGGCGTTGTTTTAGCATAGCTTATATTTAAATGAGATTTTTTGTTTTAAAGCGGAGCTAATTCCGAACTACATATGTAGTTTCGGACATCCTGGGCAAAATTCCGGGCAACATTTTTGTTTAGAGCTGTAAAGTCGGCAGGGTTCCTTTTGGGGGTAAAAAAGTGAGTAAAAAAAGGAAACGAATTAAAATTGACCTTTTACACTGTTCAAAATTTCATGACCATTTTAACACCAAATTAACACCAAACATGGTCTATATCGATACAAACCAAAATGGTGTTAAATAAGGTCCGTTGGTCCGGTGTAAATTCAAATACTAAAATGGTGTTAATTTAACTTTCACACAGTATTAAAATAAATTTTACTTGGTGTAAATTGAACTCCTTTTCAGTGTTAAATATTATGTGTTTGTGGACAAATTAAATCATACTACACAGAAAAAAGGAAACAGGAAGTTCCTTGACGCATTACTAGTATATTACCAGTGGTATTATTCCAGAAAATGGAACCTTCAACTCGCTAGAGATAATGTTTTTAGTGCGTTGCACTAACTTAAAATACTTTAAGTATTGACAGCTGTTTCCACCTATTTAAGGTCTCTTTAGTATCGAACAACTTGTAGTGTCACACCAAAGCAAAGGATTACCTCAGTTTATATATTCTTCATGTAAGTCAACAGACGCGAGATTTAAGAACATCACGTGATCCATAACCATAATTCATGGTGTTATATTAACACCACTTGGTGTTGGATTTTGACACCATTTTAAGATTACTTTTTACACCACAGATATTTTAAACAGTGTAGGAAGCTACAGAACCAAATTTAGTATTTTGGCTTTCTTTGCTGCAAATATATTAATAAACTGAGATAGTATGTAGGCCCGTAGTTTACGTAGTACGTTCTTAAATTTAATTTTCTAAAATTTCGGGCCCTTGCATACGGCCTTGTCTGATTTGGAGATTTTTCTACTTGTAATTATTTCATTATACGGGATA